TGTGCAATAAATCTGATTAACCAGTCAGTTCCCAAAACACCATAAAATCCACGCAGGTCTTATACCCTGGTAATGAGTTTGCAAGTGAGGAGGGGGAAGGGGGCCAATAAGTGTGGGTGCTCACCGACAAACACACACACACACACACACACACACACGCACACAAACCACTATTGTGTTTTTTACCTTTTTTTCAGGGTAATAATTTGACATATTAGCATTTGGGGATGAAAGATAAGCAGGGCTTAATGTATGCTAATATTAAGGTCTGCGACTTGTAACAAAAATAAAGCGAGGTCACCAGGAAAAGGCGCCGCTCTAATTAATAGATGAATTCATTACAAAAACAATGACTCAGTTTAAAAACCCACTCATTAACAAGATAAGGGTTTGAAATGAAACGTTAATGTGTTGACAATGAGAGCGACTACATTCAACCTTGGAATGCCGTTAGTGCAGCGTGTCTGTGCCTCTGATTGGAGAAATCTGCCCCCCCCCCCTCCAGCCACCGCTGTATCATTCCTCATTATTCTTTGACACATTCCCTCGCCGTCTCTCCGCCTCCCTCCCTCTCATCCAGCATCCCTCCGTCCCTCCCCCCTTCGCTGGCCTTTTACCTGCTCGCTCGCCTCGGGGGAAATTACCACAGCTCAGAAACGCTGTCCTATACTGCAACGCTCCACTCTGCCCTGCCTGCCTCCACGGCACACACAATCACACACACACACACAAACGCACAAACTGTGGACATGTGCTCACTGTTTCTTCATGCTATTGTCCTCCTCCCTACAATGCATTAATACTATTCAGAGGCACAGCAGTACAGGGAGGATTATAGGCATGTTGTTACCAAGGTCTGCCTTGGATTTGTATGCAGGACTTTGTACACGCAGGCGTGTGGGTTTTAGTGCAGCGTGCATGCACTCATTTCTCCGTATAATGGCTTTTATGTGTCGGACCTCTTCTGTTTAGGGTAATTCTTAATGAGAGTTAATGAAAAGGATCTCTGCGCCTCTTAAGGATTACCGTGCCGTCAGCTACTTGCAGTCTGTCCTCATTTCTCAATGCAACAGCGCAGACCTTGGAGATGAGCAGCTCATGCGGCTTTTAAACCACTCTTTGCTGTTATTTAATGGATAGGCCCTTCAATTACCACTGCTAATCAGAGTGAGGAAAAAAATTTGCTCACAGCTCTAACTTGCCAGGCTTTCAAGTAGCGGGAACACTTCTCTTCTTTCATGTGCTGATAGTAGCTGCATTCATTTGACTCCCTGCTCAGTCCGAATCATCATCATGACGTCCCTTTGCATATGTCAAGTCATCCCTTTGGAAATGTCACTTTGAGCGAGGCAGCAGTGGCTCGCTGTCTAAATTTTGTTTACTCACATGAATTGAGTACAGATTGTGAGGCCTGCTTATAATCAATACCATAATACTGCCCCCCCCCCCCCCCCACGACTCATCAGTCATTCTGCATCACACAGCAAACTTATCATCGTCTTCTTCTTCCTCAAGAATGCATTCTCACTGGGGAATGAGGATTTAAAGCGAGATCTGCTTTTGGATTCAAAGCTGTCATGAAATGTTTGGCAACCCCTCAGATCATGTTTGTCTGGTTAATTCCACAAGATTAAATGTTAAGCATTTGGGTGGCGCTTTGTTTTTCAAGCGTCAGGCAAAAAACATACTCAAAATTCATTCGATGATCCCATAAATTCCTCCAGTCTGTCGTGAACTATGGAATTTATTTTGACTGTTGAAGCAAATATGTAAAGGCTGTTGGGATTTTTTTTGGATGCAATTTGTCTGATGTGTCTGCCTTTTATGAATCAGTGAGATGAATGCTCCTGGATGGACTTACTTTCTCTAATGGGAAACATGTTTATAGGACAAAAATGTAGACACGGAGCACACGCATTAAATATGCATGTGACACGCAAGCGTGCATGTGTGCACAGGCAACGTGAGATTGAAGCCAGCGCGTGCGGTTCTAATAAGAACGGGCGGTTTTGGTGTGTGCACATGCATTCTTGTGTGGGTGCGCATTTGTGGCAGACTCCGGCGGCAGGCTGGAAATGAAAACCGCATGCGTAACGCGGCTTATGATTGGACTGGAATTAAAACAAAAAGTCACAGGAGTGCACTGAGAGGGAAATACAAGGAGAGGAGAAAGAGAAAGCGAGAGGAGGAGGAGGAGGAGGAGGAGGAGGAGGAGGAGGAGGAGGAGAAGTGTATTGTGTGAGAAGGGAAGGAGTGAGCGGATGCTGCAGTCCGACGGTTTCTGTCTGGGCTGCTTCTTATCAGAATGTCAGAGCGGACCTCTCCCAGGCTCGCGTCTGTCAGCAGTCTGCTTAAATGTGAAAGCAATTGGGGAAATTGGTAGAGTCAAAGACATATCTTAAAATAAGCTGTGATGACCCGGAGAGTGGCTGTGCAGAAGGAAGTGTGTGTGTGTGTGTGTGTGTGTGTGTGTGTGTGTGTGTGTGTGTGTGTGTGTGTGCGAACACTCGCGCGAACACATGTCTGCACGCAGAAATGTTCTCTCTCTCTCTCTCTCTTTCTCACGTGCATACTCTCCCTCTCTTTTCATGTAGTTTTTCTTCTCACCAACATTAACGCGCGCAGACGTGCACCGGCGTAGCCTTTGATGGGTAAAATCATGTCAAACCAACAAGTCTCGGCCGTCCTTTACAGTGCACAGATTTCCATCGTCATCTTTGATAGCTCTACATTTAGACAAATGATGCCACTTTAGACCCCGGGCTGAAGCCTCGAGTGGCCCATTCGTTCGGAGCCCGCACGGAACACAATTAACTGAGATGGCATGAATGAAAAGCAAATATCTGCATACAATTGAACAGTCTGTGATCTGCAGAGAACTAAACATCCCTTCAGGTAATTCTCAAGGCATTCCCCTCTCCTCTCACCTCTTTTAACCCGGAGTATGCAACATCTGCTTTCGCCATTCAATCAGAGCTTGCTATTTCATTGGCTCTGGGCATCTCGCCTTGAAAGGGAGAGAGCAAGGGAGAGGGAGAGAAAAAGTTTTGAGCCAGGGCCCCTGGCTTTCTCATTAGCAGTCTTTCCCAGTGATGTATAGTGGCCAAGAGCTTTGGTGAGAGAGTTCTCACTGGTCAGACTTCCCCTTTGTGGACTGCAGCCTTGACCCCACCTCACTGTGTGTGTTGTCTGTGCACAGAGCGGACATTTCCATGAGAAAGGGAAGCAGAGAAAGGACAGGGGCCGCGTTTTCTTTCTGCGAGAAGGCTGCAGACGCGGGTCTGTGGGTGCGTGGGCGACGGCCTCATCTATCATGCAGCGAACGGCCTGGAATGATCGGCACATGTCTCAGGACGTCACGTGATCAAGTCATTCCTGACAAAGGCTATCTCGGGTGGAGAAAACATTTGAGAATGCTAAGTAAAGTTCCCCAATGTCATTTTAAACCGCTTGAAGACTTTCATGACTCGTCTATTTCTGTGTCTCTCTTGCATGTTTTTTTTTAATTTTGAGTACATTCTACCCGGACGAATTCCACAACAGCGCCCCATTTCGTTCTTCTCTGAAGCTCCCACAATTGGCTGCGTGCTTCAGCCACAACCTTGGAAACATGAGCAGCCCCCGTCCGTCCATCCTCTTTGGACGCTGGCAAACGGAGAGGGGCGGGGGGGGGGGGGGGGTTGGAGCCGCCCCCCGCCGTTTGGTTGGGCCGGGATGAACTGTGTGGGCCGCCACTTCCCGGGCTGCCTGCTCCCCCGGGAGAAGAGAGCCGAAACCGCCGCCCCCTTAATTTTAACAAATGGCTTCGAGGGCCCCGTCCACCAGAGCTCCTGAACGCCCACCATGGCCGTCCGCTGCGCTGTCTGGATCCTCACAGAAATGTATTTCCCCGAAGTCGTTTCTCACTCTGCATCATTCGCGGATAGCCAGCCCGTCGCTAGTCGTCCAGCTGGCGACCTAAACAACAACAACAACAGAAAAAACACATTTATTTTGCACTTTAAAACAAGTTGGCTGACGGCTGTTGGCTTGCTCTTTTGACGCGAGAAGTCATCGGCGATTTTTTTTTCTTTTTTTTTAACGGAAAAAAAACGCCCGATTTTTCGGTCGACGGGTATCGACGTTAACCGGCTACACGCCAGCTCGCGACATTTTGCTGCTTTTTTAAAAGTCATTTTTATTCGTGCTTTTGTTTTTGTTGTCAGTGGCGTTTCGTCCGCCTCCCCACCCCTCCTCTCCCACGCATTGTATCGTGACGCTTCTAACAGTAAACACTATACCGTTTTTTAAAAGTAATTTCACGGGATATTTTTTTTTTTGGGGAGGGTTTGTTTTGCTGAAAACATAACATTACCGTACCTGCTGTGTGGCCGCTGTTTACCTCGCTGTCTGCCAAGTCGGACTCGAACTGCGACTGAATCTGCGCTCCATCTCTTTACGGGTAACTTCTAGAAAGAAGACTTTGGACGACGCTTTTCTGCCTATTTTGTTGTTAGTTTTTTTTTTCCTGCCGTGAACCGACTCTACACCGAAAGCGGCCAACAACTGTGCTTAACGCAAAGGTAAGCCTCCAACACGTAGCTTCTTTTTTATTTTCTCCTGTGATGCCGATATTAGTGTTCAGAGGAAAATTGTCCAAAAGCTAGTTTCGTTGCGAATATCAAATACAAAAACAAAACACTAATCCATCTTGGCGTCGCGTCGCATTGTTTTCACCGTGCGACGCGAACAGCACGGCAATCAATGTCATCAAAGCGCCCTGCCACACATGACCGGTGCTTATCTGATACCCCGTTTCTCCACAGTATTCCTATTATAGGTGGCATGATCTCATTGTGTGGGTTGGAGACGGACCGTGTGTGTGTGTGTGTGTGTGTGTGTGTGTGTGTGTGTGTGTGTGTGTGTGTGTGTGTGTCAATGTGTTTTTGAGAGGCGTCCCCTGCAAAGGAAAAAAGAAAAGAGCAAAACAACAGATTTGATCCCAAGTGTTCTCCCATGCGCTGCTTCTGGACGCTCGCGATGGGCCGATGCAGTGTTGTTTGTGTTGACTCGACATGGACGTGTTGGAAACTTTTCTGTTATATCATCGCTTTTCTGGACTGGAGCACACACACTCACACACACTATATGTACATGTGAGCGTGTGATGTGATGGTTTCTCTAGCCGACTGAGAGAATTGCATCGCCCCCTCTCCCAATCTTTCTGCAGTAATCAGGAGGTAATGAGTCTTTTAAAAAAAAAAATGTAATCTATCATTCATAGCCTGCGCAGAGTGTGGTTGTGTGTTGTGCTCTGCACGCAGAGGCTGCGGTGTTTCCTCAGTGTGACACCCCCCTCCCCCCATCGTTCCCCTGTCACTGCTCTCTGGGTTGGTTCTGTATCTGTAGCGCTGTCGCATCCTGTATCTTTGCACACTGTTGTACATTCTCCACTCTCCTTTTTACAAGTACACTATTAAAGATCCCCGGCTTGGTGAGCAAACCCGGTAATACTGATTGAACTGTCTCCTTCCACACACCCCTCTTTCTACACGCTGTCCCCAGGCACTGGAGTATAGCTTTTAATATCTCCTACGCATGTCTTAATTGAAGTACATCATTTCCCTTTTACAACCACCCCCCCCCAACCCCCTCTTCTCTCTGTCACCACGGTCTTATCTCCATCGTTACCCACCAGCAAGGTGTTGAAATAAGAAATGCTTGTCGAGTTGTCGCGGCGGCACAGGCAGCTGCAGTGAGCTGGTGGGTCTGTTTGGGGCGCTTGCAGTACGCTCCCATTGGGGTGCCTGAAGCCGTGCCTGTTCCTGCCTATGTCTCGGGATGTAGGCGCACAGTGTGTGTGGGTCCGGATCGGCCGACGAATACGCACGTGGAATGCCGGCGTTTTATGGAGTTTACAACCCTTTTCGGGTGAACCGCAGTTGGTCAATGCGCTGCAGTTGCTCAGGTTGACTACCCAGCTGGGGCTGACCACATACACACAGGGTCAGGGGGTCCCCCTCCCTCCCCATGGACACAACTGTCTGTCCAAACGTCTGAAGAGGACGAAATAAGGGGATGACAGTGAAAGTGAAACCCAAACCCTGGTGAGAGGAGAGTCAGATAGACCGCAGAAGTAGCCACTCAGCTGGGCTCCCACTTCCCTGGTTGTAACCATGTAATCGCTATAACTAGCACTGCCGCCCCAGCAGGGGGTTAATCTGCAGGGCACCATACCGTGTGTGGGTGTGTGTGCATTAGGTCATCGTTACTGAGAGGGGTTACCCTAGAAGCGGGATGGGTTGCACTTTACAATGAAGATGAAGGCAGTGCTTCAATTGCTAGACCTTCTTAACAATGCTTTGTCTTTGTCTACAGAGCGGTATGAGAACAACAAAAAGCTTGGCTTTGATACCTATTTGGTTTTGAGGGGAATGCAGACATTTCCCGTCGGGGGGACATGGGGTAGCGCTGAGAGGCCGAGGGGGGGGGGGCATGGAATGTCAGTGAACGCTCGCCAACGACTGCAAATCCAAACACAAATTGCACAGAGCTATATGAATTCTCTCTGTCTATAATTGGTTCTTGCTCGGAGCCCCAAAATGAGAAATCCAGCCCCTCACGGGGGGCCAGAATAACATTACTTCTTGTGCCATTTTGGCAGCACCCTCTCATGTAAAACCCATAGTCCACATTGGCTCCGGATCCGACCCGTCTGTAGGCTGTTGGCATCTAGACATTGTTTGTGATTAGAGTGTATTGTTACAAAGCCACAAGGATCAACCCTCCACCCCCACGGCTCCTTATCGCCGAGGAGACAGCGTCATCCTTCTCAAAGGAAACCGAAAGCCTCCTCGCCAAAACCTGTACGGACAAAACATGGCCAGCCCAGTGGTCAGGATGCCGTTCTTAAACTGGTTCCCACTATGGGACGAGAGGGACGAGGCTGCTTGTCTCATGTCCCTGTATCGCCCATAAACAGTGCTGGGGACGTGTCGTTTGTGCTCTGCTAACCCTTCCTTAGTTGTGCTCTGGTGTTTGTCAATCCGACCACGATTAGCCCAGGTATGTCCACGCATTATGTGGGCTTATCAAACAGCTGGCACAGTCCTGATAGGTGCCGCGCTTAACACTGCCGTAGTAGTAGTAGTAGTGTTGGAGAGGGGGGGTTGTTGACACTATAATCAGTTTGATTCAATGGGAGGCCGTCAAATGCTGTTGCCTTTTTCCTCTTCAGTCTGGATGGCTATTTTGCGGGGGGGGGGGGGGGGGGGGGGTTGTGTGTATTTAGACTGTGGTGGGGATAGTGACCATAGGCAGCAAAGAAGCCAGATGTGGTAGTAGTACCCTCACTCGGTTGGACACCGCCCTAAAAGCCTAACCGTGCCAATCTCTCATTAATAATTCCACGTGCTTTCTTGACTGCGAAGGGGTTCGTTTTTTGTTGTTGTTGCATTTTCGCCTGTGTGTCTGTGCACGGTTTACACAACCCGGCTGCTCCCTCTAATCAGCTTTGGAATGAGACGGTGATCTCGCATTATGATAGTCATAATCTTCTCTGCAGAAGTAGACGCTGCCAAGTGTGTCGGAGGGGGCACTGCATTCCTTGTTGATTGATCATATAAATGCTCGGTTCTTCGGAGGACGCTCTGAACTATCGCTTTGGTCACCAGGTAGGAGCTTGTGACCAGTAGTCCTGTGCTCAGGTTTTTGGCACACAAGAGCTTTTGGGGGAGTTTGGGCCAATGAGCGTTGGGCTTCAGGACACGTCTTTCTGGTCCGACCTTATGTTCCACCGAAAGGGGCGGAAGCTGAAAGGGGGCCCACTGAGGGTAAACGCGCCCGGGGATGGAATTAGTGGAGGGAGGGTGGGGGTGCCAGGCTGAAGCCTGTGAGTCTTGGCTGGAGTCCAGGGGAGTGTTCAATTTGCCCGAGGTCCAGGGCCCCCCCCCCCCCGTTCACACACCCTCTTTCCCTCCCCGATGCTTCATGCTGGCTAATTGGAGGGACGTGGAGAGGGGGGAGACGGGCCGTCACGTGGAGGATCACAGAGAGTATGCAGGGATACAGTGCTCCCCTTCTTCTCGCTCCAAAGTGACCTCAGACGGCCGAGCTCGTTATGTAAAAGGCCTCCGGCCCCCACAGCGCTCCCAACGCCTTCTGTTTCCGTCTGTGTCAACAGCGCTAGCAGCACTCTGCTCGCTCCTATGGCCAGACCCTGGCTAGTAAGCTCAGATCACTTGTATTTTTTATTTTTTTGCAGTATTGGCAATGTTTGTTTCCTTCAATGGGTTTTCATTCAGTTTGTGTGCGGAAGAACGTTTTAATCCCGTATCTGGAAATGGCCTCGTTGAGGAAGGGTTAAGACAAGTGTGAAGGCTAATTTATGTTGATTAAGGCACAATATCTGAGGCCACTCACGAATACATCAAGGAAGCTGTCGGCCCGACTCGTCGTCATATTGTACCTTTACTTCCAAATTTGCTCTGGTGTTATTGTCTGTATTCTAAGAACCACGTCATGAGCTACAATGCACATCTGCAGGATACAACAAATGAGCGGGAAGATCTCGCCATGCCCGTCCTCAATGGTACGATCAAACAAACTAAGCCAATGTTGCTCAGTACGCCAATGTATCCTTGCTAGCTCTCTACCCTCAGCTTCCAACCGTCGCCCTGCTTTTTCACATCCTCGCCGTTTTCCTCCGAGTCAGTGTTATTGCTTTTGCCGTTGACAGCCAGGGATTTGTTGATTTGTTTATGTAGGTCTATATGTTAAACTGCAGCCTGATATACTGTCGGCTGTTTGTTGATTCACAAACAGCCAGAGAGCCAAAGCCCTCGCTGGTCAAATTCAAAGCTCAACGCATGAGTTTAAATGAAGAGGTTCTCATTTTTGGTCCGGGGTTAAAAACTAAGAGGAACTTGAGGTAAATTATTCTATTAGCCAACAGCACTTCATAACTATCTAGGGAGTCACCTCACAGCCTCCGAGCTGCTCGACGGAATCTGTGCGTTTGTTTCAATCCAAAGAGTCAAACAAACGAGCGAAAGACACAGGCCAACGCAGACTGCATCCACCTTTCCCCGTGAGCGCAAATCCGTCCCAAGAAAGGCCCCGCTCGGCTCTACGGCTTCTCCTTGAATCGTCGTTTGGCTTTGGCTGCGTTGCTGGCAGCGAGCGGGCCCACTCGGCCTCGTGCCTCACGCTGTTTTCCCCGTTTTAATGAGCTACTGTCGCGTTCAAAGTTTCATATCGACTCGGCAGAGGAAGCTCGGTGCTAATTTTCCAAAAGGCAAACCTCAAAGCTGTTATTTATAACGCAGCTCTGCCTCTCTCCCCGTCTGATCCTTTCGCTCCCTCTCGCTTTGTCCCCCCGTCTTCCTGCGTCGCCGCTCTGCTCCCGCCCGCTCCCCCTCGATTGGTCCCTCGTCTCCGCATTCCAGCAGCCAAGAATATCTCCGCCACGGCCCATTGAGCGGGTTTCCGGCCCCTTGTAGCATCAACCCGTGCCGTGCACATAACCACGATGCCCCCCCCCCCCCTCCACCCGGCGAACGCGTAGCTGGGGCACGAGGCCGGTGGCGGGGGCTCTGGGACGGAAACGTGCGCGCTGCAACAGTGCTATTCCTTGCCTGTCAACCATGGCATTTACTGGCCTCCCGCCCCATAGACTTAAATGCACACCTACACGCATTTTGTTGGGGTACGGGTGAGGTCCGTGGCCTGAGTAAGGCGATAACCCCTGCAGGGCCTCGTGGCTTCGCTCAGGCCACAGGAATGGCCGGCAACACTCTGTTACCCCTCTTTTCTTTTTCTTGCACCTCTCTCTTCCGTTCTTTGTGTGATTGGTGTTGTGTCTGCGGCGAAGCTGCATGTCCCCCGCCCCCCTTCGAGTGCTCTCCCGGTGTCTCTCCCTCTTCCATTTGTCTCGCTCAGTCTTCACACTCCTCTTCCCCCCCCAACCCTCCTCCCCCCCACTATTCTACCCTGTGTAGTTTTCCCCCTTCACTTTCTCTGCATCTCTAGATACCAGCGATCAAGGTGCGCAGGTTTTTTCGGTACCTTTTTCTACCCCCCCCCCCTCCACACGGGCGCATATCTCTCTCGTTGTCTGGACCCCCCCCCCCCCTCCACCTAGCAAAATCCTCCGTTTCTCAAGTGAGGACTTCCTTTCGTTTCCCTCCCCTCTCTCCCTCCCTCCCTCCCTCTGTGTGTGCGCCCTGTCTGGTTCTTCGGTGGCTGTCGTTCTTAATTGGTGTTGCTCTGCGTCTGCTTTCATCCTCAGCCTGTTTTCCCCGTCCTCTCGTCCCCCGCATCTCCCTTTCCTTTCCCACCAATCCCGTCTCTTCGTCTTTTCCCATCTCCCTCTCCGCTGCATCCTTGGTAGAAAAAGACAGACATCAGACAGGCTGCCTCCTGGTTGTGCGTGTCGAGCTTCCACGGTTTTTTTTTTGTGCACGTTTGTGTTGTGAGTTTTCAGCCCCCTCGTTCCTGTACAGTGTGTTCTCGTTGTCATGCCTCCTTCTCTATAGCTCGAGCCGTATAGTCCCGGGATATGTGGCTGTTTTTGTGCAGCACAGGAAGAGAGGCTATACAGTGCCGCTCCTTCACAGTTTGCCGACTGTCCCAGTTTTGGGATGTTTTCATACTTGTCTGTATTCTAAAAAAAAAATAAAAAATAAAAGCCAGGCTCAGACTACAGTAGTTTGGACCAGTCTCCCCCACTCAAAAGCCTGGGCTGTTAGCTTGGTTGTTGCCTTGTTCTAACCGTGTTATCTTCATGTGGGGGGGAGGGTTTCTGGTTTCTCCAAACTTAAACCACCTAAACATCTGATGCTTTTAATTGAGGCGAGCCTTTTAGTATTTGTGCTACAGTAAGCTAAAGGAAGGACCACCCGGCTACCTTTGCATCGTTACCCGTCTCTATTGGCCGCCACGCTGACTGACACACTATTGCTGTGTAGGTCAGGGACATCGGAACGGGACATATTTTGCCTAATTGTAGTGCCACGCTGCCAGTGAGGGTGAACCTGATGCACGGAGGACACCCCGGGGTCATTGCTGAGGGAGGGAGACCGGGGAAGGCAGGTAAGGTTATATGTGTGCCAAAAGAGGTCAGGAGGGAAGCTAGGCCTCAGGAGACATCTGTGTTCTACCAGGCTGTTTTGTGTGTGTGTGTGTGTGTGTGTGTGTGTGTGTGTGTGTGTGTGTGTGTGTGTGTGTGTGTGTGTGTGTGTGTGTGTGTGTGTGTGTGTGTGTGTGATAAACACTTGAATATCATAATAATATAACACTTAGCCAGTAAATATCATGTGCGTCATGAATTCATTGGGATGGATGAACCACATTTGTCCATCAAAACTCTTAGGCTGGCTGACATAAATAGGGAGATGGACCGTTATTAGGATGATCCACTGAATATGCAGATTTTTGAAAGTGGCATTGATTTGAGACCACAGTCCTGTTTTAGAGATTAGTGCCCACTGCACTTAGGGAAGAGTAAACACACACATATTCTGTCCCACTGGTCCGGCTCATGCCTCTTTAGTAGTTCCCAGGAGCTGTCACCAATGCTGAGCCAAAGGAAAGACAGCCGCAAAAGTGGCACTGAGCTTCCGCGGCCCCCCGGGCCAGCTATCTATCTATCCATCTAGTTCGCCCACTAGAAAAAACTTTTGTGTTTCGTATTCTGTCAGTGTGCTTAAAGCCTGGTGTCCTTTCTGTCCCTCTAATCCTGTGCCTTTTTATCTTCCCGCCATTCCCTGCTGTCTTTGAACCAACTCTTCACACTGTTACTGCTCTGTCGTGGGCTTTGATTTATGTCTCTAACTCTTTTCTGTTCCTACGTCTCCATTGCATCGTTTCATTTTACAGTGTTTGACCATGAGTGAAAGTGTTTCTCAGAAGCACCTGCGATGATTCTTTTTTCTTTTAGGTTGATGATTGTGAATTGGAAAAGTTAATTTGTCTCTGAAGGGATTTAAAGTACAAGGCGCAAAAAGAACAGAACTTACCCGGGAAATATGTCTTGTGTGATGGGAGGAGTAATAGTACAAAAAGACGGAAGCAATTGGCCAGGGAGCGTCTTTAAGCTGAGCACCTGGCGGTCAATGTTTCCATCATAACTCCCCTCTCTTTCCTTTCGGGGGCAGGCTGAGAGAAGCTAGCAACAGAAAGAAAAGAGACCCATTTGATGGAAGAAAAGCGAAAGAAAAAACAAGAAGAAAAGGAGGCCTGACGTCGCTCAGAAAAAAGGTAATCGATGCACTTCTCCACACACAGCACACCAATGAAATGATCTCCACGTATTTCTTTTGACTCCACCGGCTGGCCCTTAAATATGCCACTTTTAGGAGTGTAAAACCTATTTAATCAATAGCTTTTTTATTAAAATCAACGACTGGCTTAAGCAGCAAAAACAACTTGACTCGCATTGTTTGTCGCATCAATTCTGAAATGTGTCCCTGGTTTTAGTGGAACAAAGATCCTGATTTCTCCCCCCCTCTCTTCTCTCCCTACAGGCCGCTGATCAGAAACCCAAAGGTGAGTGTCACAATAACACAACGCCCCCCCCCCCCCATACCTTCCATCCACTGATCTGCATTAATGAGCTCTGGTTAACAACACGCTGACCCGTAAAGGCGCGCACACTCACACACACACACATACTGTTGTGTAAGACTTTCTCATGCAAACATGTTATTTATGCACACAGTTCGTACTCCCGTACACAGATGGTCACACATGACGTGCACATGCATGCACAATTGTGCCGTTTGACTCTCAAACACACATGCTTACACACACACACACCCACACCCACACCAGAGAAAATACAGCTTGGACTAACGCAGAGCGATGCGGAGGGACCCCCAGGGCGCCCGCAGCCCCAGTCAGTGAAGCGTGAGTGTGGTTGGGGGGTGAGGGGTGAGGGGTGAGGGGGGGGGGGCAGAGGGCGGAGGAAGAGCGGAATAAAAGAAGGACATGGCGTTTGGTTCAGATGCAGAGGTAGTGAATCCGAAAGGACGGCGTCCTTGCATGCCTCCGAAGTGTTAAGACGCTGAAATAGATCATAATAGAACACCGCCAGGAAACTCAGTTTTGGAATTCAGCGGTTTACAGAACAGCTGGAGTTGTTTCTGGTGTACTCAGTTGCTTCTAGCTATGGAAAACGGTCACACCGAGCATCTTTCTGTGTTTACATTCGGATATATCAGTTCATTCATGCAAAACGCTGGAGATGAAAAAGAGGACAGAATGTGAGGTGGCTACCTCTAGCACCGCCTTGTGTGTGTCTGCCAGCGCCCGAGCACCCCCCCTCCCACGCAGTGCGAGCAACAGCTTGGCCATCTGGGTGTAGCTGCTGGGCCTTTTTAGCAGAGGTCACCGCGGCTCGCCTCGGACGATGACCCGTCTATTTAATTGCCCTCCCACGTGTGTGTCGCGTGGCCCCTCATCCCAACTTCCAACGCCTCCACTCGCTTTGAGCACGCATCATAATGCCACTGCTCTTATGCTCGAGTGATTTAAGATGGAAATAAATTCTGTCTGGGCTTCATTATGATTCAGTCCCAAATAATTGTGCTGTATCTGAATACTTTTTTTAATTCATTTTTTATTGTGTAGAGCTTGAGTTTCTTTCTTATTTCTTTTTTTTTACTGTTGGTTGCACAGGCCAGTCAGCATGGTTACATGGATTCGAATAACTGGCTTAGTCGGACTGAAAACAAATTATCCGTTTCATGTAAACACCTTTGTCCGACTGTGCGGTCCGACTACGATCCGATTAACACCCCTGGATAACTCGATCCGATCCAGTTGATAGTTCGACTATTGCGGCATGTAACGGTGAATCGGATAAGGAACTGGACTTTGCGTCTTTGCGCATGCTTGAGATCCCGACTGCGTCTTCTCTCCGTTATCAAGTCAGCCAATAGCGCCATTCGCATTCGCTGTACTCCTATTAACATCATGCAAAAATAGTAGAGGGTTGTAGCTTCACCTTGCTCTCCGTTCGCCATCTTTCTCGTAATGTTGATGTTGTTGTTGTTTGTTGTTGGTAGTGGTGAAGCGGTCAAGCGGAAATGGCTGTATCACAACTCGTTGTAATGAAAACAGCGCCACCTATCGTATCGGATATGACATGCTTTCGGCCAATGGTTCGATTTATTCACTGCCATGTATATTGGGATAATAGCACTTGCCCCGAAAGATAGCATAGTCCGACTAAGCAAAGATTCGAATTATACCATCATGTAAACACACTCACTGTGGCTGTTTCTCCGGGAGTACACTGCCTCCTTGCTTACATTCACACCTGGAAGCGGCCTTTCACACCCACAGTCATCTCCGCTGCACTCGGAGCATGGCGGGGGTTTGAAGGCGTTGCTCGTCCTGAGCTCTGAGAAATGGGTGTTTAGTTGTTGTTGTCGGATGGTGGAAAACCCACATGGCCCAAATAAAAATGACCCACGTTGAGCTTGGGCACCTCAGCATGCAGCTCGGTGTGTGTTTGCCCGCATCTGTCTTGTGTTCAAACATGCTATTGCAGCAACAGTGCTGCATTTCTGTGGGCCAAGTGTCACTGGCCGGAGCTGCAAAGGAAATGTCGAGAGGGGAAATATGGCCTAGGGACAGGGGGCACAGCTGAGAGAGGGGGTGAGAGAGAGAGTGTCTCGGGGGCGTTCCCGAGGCCACATAAAAGGGGAGAAATTAAGGGAGGCCAGAAGAAAGTAATGAAGCAGTGAGCGCTTCAGACGTGCGCCAAAAAGGGCCGTCGGTGTTGATGTGGAATAGGGCTAATGGCGTGGGCATTCGTTCTATGGGATGTTTAATCAGAGACAGCCAGGAAGGGACTGAGCTGGCTTTTCATCCGTGACACTAAATAATAGAGGTGTGTGTGTGTGTGTGTGTGTGTGTGTGTGTGTGTGTGTGTGTGCGTGCATCAAATATGCGGTGGTGATTTGTGTGCCTCCATCCATATCGGTGAATTTTGCCTACCTTATACACTCAGATATT